AAAAAAAAAAAAAAAAAACACAGCCAGGCCAGGCATGGTGGTTCACACCTGTCATCCTAGTCCTTTGGAAGACCAAGGTGGGTGTATCACTTAAGCTCAAGAGTTCAAGACCAGCCTAAGCAAGAGAGAAACCCATCTCTACTAAAAAATAGAACAACTAGCCAGGCAATATGGCCAGTACCTGACTTGGGAGGCTGAGGCAGGAGGATCGCTTGAGTCCAAGAGTTTGAGGTTGCTATGAGCTATGATGCCATGGCATCTGCCCAGGGCAAGTGACTGAGACTCTGTCTCAAAAAAAAAACCCACCCACCCAAACCAGAGGACAGAGCCCTCTCCTCTCCTCCCCACTGCAATTCACAGCCCACCCTCTCTCACCCCACCCTATCTTTTCCCACATTAAAACCAGCCTTAGCTTCAGCTGCATTTATACAGTTCGGTGAATCCACCCTGAGGTGCTGTTGTAATTTTTCCTTTAGATGACTAAACAGATACAATGAAAAGAGGTGACTGATTTCACAAAAGGAAGTTTGCTCTGCCAAAAATTTCAGAACCTAAGTTCTCAAAAAAGTCCTCTACTCCAGCCTGCCATGCTGTCAGGCACCTGTAGTCCCAACTACTCAGGAGGCTGAGGCAAGAGAATCACCTAAGCCCAAGAGCTGGAGGTTGCTATGAGCTGTGACACCACAGCACTCTACTGAGGGCAACAAAGTGAGACTCTGTCTCTAAAAACAAAACAAAACAAAACAAGATCTTCTACTCCACACAACAGCTGTCCACGTTCACCTGCCTCAGGAGGAGTGTCTGTGCAGAGGGGACTGTGCTTGTCTGTATGTGTATTCTGATCACCCTCTACCCAAACGAAAAGCTGCATATGCACTCTGCTCATGGCCCACAGACACACCGACCTGCGCCCTCCCTTGCCACTGTACTCTTTGTTTCTTCCCTAGGCCCCCTAAGAACCCTCAGCTGAATAGGGTTGACTGGAGAAGCCAGCTCCCGGCCACTGCAGCAGTTCTCCTCCTTTCAGGCTCTGAGAGTAAGGAAGGGCTTGTGTTTTTTTCCATTCTGTTTTAAAGGAAGACCTAAAGTTAACTCACACAGGAAAGACAGGAACTTGGGGGTCACATGTCAGATCATGGGTTTAATGAACACTGGCCCAGGAC